GTATCGTGACCCCTCTGTTATGATATGTATCGTATCGCCAAATTCTTGCCAATACACAGCCCTACTGTAGAGTCTACTGGTCAGCCTTGACATCCATCTGTTTTTATGAAAGACTGTCCAATTAGAAGTATTAAAAAGAGCTTGTAACTCCATTAGTATTAAGCAGGATTGTATGTTATAATGTGAAATGTTACTGTTCTGTTATTTACAAGGCTTTACAAAAGCTTAAAAACAAAATAACACTTCTTGTCCTTAAGGTGTTGTTGTTGTGTTCAAGTTTATATAAGGACAGAAGTCGGTCATCGTACAATGAATAAAGTTTAGTGAAAGAGAGAGAGAGAGAGAGCCAGAGACCTGGAGTCTGGGCTGAAGCGGACCAGCGTGGCGTGATCCAGATCCACGTTGGCTCTCAGACACTTGTGCTCCCGCTCCAAGAAGTCTTTGGTGCTCCAGATCCGAACGGTGCGATCGTCGGCGCACGACGCCAGGTATTTCCCGTTGCTGCTGAAATCGAGGCATGTCACGTTCCCACTGTGGCCCTGAAGAGCATGAAAACCCAAATACACATGAACAGAACTGACTCTGGGGAAGCTGCATAAATTACCCAAGACCAATAAAAGACTAGTTAATTATTTATGTATATTTGTGACTGCAGTGTCCACCAGTGCTTTATTATAAATTCTGCCTAAAACAGAAAAGACAGAATAAACAAAAACTCAGAAATTCACCACATCCTGGATCACAGATTCAGCACARATTCCAGTTTACCTTCAGCGAGGCTGCCAGCAGAGGATGGCTGAAATTGTGCTGCACAGGTTTATCTTTGCGACTCCGCTGCTTCTCCTGCTTCTGCTTCTTGGACGTCTTCACAGAAGTGGATTCAGCTGGAACAGAAGAAAAGATGATTTCTGTTTTCTTTGCGACTTTTGCTCACAGAAGTAAAAAACAAAACAAACAGCACTGATCGGGCAGCTGGGCCAGTGTTGTTTGAGTAAAAATACAAGCATCTTATCATAAAAATACTTTAGTAAAAGTTAAAGTCTTCTCTAAAAATTTTACTTGATTAAAAGTCTTAAAGTAAGTACAAAAAAATATCAGATACTTTAAGACTTTTACTCAAGTAATATTTTTAAAGAAGACTTTAACTTTTACCAAAGTATTTTTATGATAAGATACTTGTACTTTTACTCAAGTATCACTTTGAGGTACTTTCTACAACACTGCTAATAGTGTGTCAGAATGGTTTATATTTATACTTCTCATCCAAACACAATTAAATTCACTCTATCAGGAGACACAATTTATCAGGATAGTACTTTGTATTTATTTTAAGTAATAACTCGTAATAAAATGAGTAACAACTTTGTACTTCTTGCCTTTTTAAAAAATGTAGTGAGTTATGTAAAAATGTAACGAGTAAAAGTAAAAAATAATTACTGGAGTACAGATAACTAAAAATTTTACTTAAGTACAATAACAAAATATTTGTACTTAGTTACTTTACAACTCTGAGCTGGGCCAAGAGAAAGATATTAAACTTAGTAAAACCTGTAAAAAAGGGAGTTTTTGACGGGAGACTGTGGTGCACAAGGTCACAGGTTCGATCCCTAGTCCTGCTCATGCACACGTGTTAAGATATCCTTGAAGACAGCTTGTAATGATTTTATTTTATGGCAACATTTGAACTTTGTCGTTAAGAAAATAAAAGTCAATTAATTACTCATCATTTGATCCGATTGGTCCGTAAACGTTACATTTGCCGATTGGTCAGCGGCAGGTGACAGCAAGTCAAAAGTTACTTCAGTTAGTGTTTTTTTATTTATTTATTTATTTATTTTTCTACGGGTGAAGAGTGAATAATGTAGTCACTGCGAGTCACGTTTGCACAGTGAATATATTAATGAATGAATGAGTGCTCTTTCAGTGGACTCAAACGTTTGGTGACTCTGTCCGCCTGCCTTCTCGAGTCACCGCAGCTAATCGGCTCCATCTTACCCGAACTGTCGGCTGCTTGTTGCTCCGTTTCTGCATTTTTCTCCTCTTTCCGTTTTCCCACCGCTAACGCCACCAGAATAACCAGCGCACCCAGCAACAAAGTCAAAGCAACCAGAGCAGCCACCTCCATGTCTGCCACGTATTTTTTCTTTACGGTGCTAACAATCGGCTAGCCTTTTCTAGCAGGGCACTGCGCATGCGCTCAAATGCTCATCCTCGTGCGCTGCTTTCAGGTGAAGAAATCGAAGTCGTAAATACGACCACTAACGATAAAGACGGCACACAAATCAATTAGGATTTTTTGCTTTTACTTCTTTTGATACTAAGAGGCAACACTAATTAATTTAAACATTTGTTATATATTAAAGGTAAATGTTTTGTAAAGATAATATTATATATAAGTATCTACTTGATCTGACTTCTTACAAAAATCAAGTATTCCAATATTCCCTGAACGCAACACAGTGAACCTAACATACACTGCCACCTAAAGGACAAGAGTTGCTTGTATTAAATTGCAAATGAGTAGAAATCTCAGTAAATATAAAATTCAATACTCACATTTTCTGTACTCTGCTGCACATAGTGAATATAGACAAATTTGAAACAATAATTTAAAATGTTCAAATCATTTACCTTTGTTTGTGAATTTGCTGAATGTGTTGCATAATTTTTTTAATGAATTTCACGTGTTCATACCATACTAGATTTTGATGTTTATCTAATCACATTTATTTTTTATTCACATTCTACTCAACATTCAAACTTTAGAGAAAAAAAACTTTTATACTAACAAAGCACAGGAAGTTGAAAAAGTTCAAAAAATAATCCTGTGGGTCATTTCAGTGACAAAAAAGACCTTTAATGTGTATTTTGTTCTAACATCCACACCCCAAACTCATTTTTATTCATTCAAATTGACCACGAGTAACTGCATCAGATGCTGCTCAGTTTTCACAAGAGGCGATAAGAAACAAGAACAAACCAGTTGGATAAAATAGCAGACATGAAATGATTTGATGTTACATTTGCTTGACAAAACAAAAAACAAAACAAAAATCCTCAAACCAGTGTGGAAATATAAGACATTAACTCTGAAACTGCAGCATAAAGGAACAGAGCGTAATCCGATGTCAGGTTAATATTGTAATTTTTCTGAAGTGTGTTGTCCAGATCTTTAAAATCATGCAAACTATCGCCACATTTGCAAAAAACCGCAGCTGAAATAAAAACAAAAATAATAATCTAATCCACTCCGTCTGAAATTGGAAGTGAATTACTAAAACATTTCAGTGCCTGGGATTAAAAAGAGGTAGTCTGGCACAAACACACACATCTCAGCGTTAAAAAATAAAAAAAAGTTGAAATAATGATCAGATTCTTTTCACAGGCATGAAGTTTAACAGTTGGCTTTGGTTTGTCAGCACAAGTCAAAAAGTAGTCATCCTAATCCGCAATCAGACCTGCAACTCACATCAACGTTGGCAAAAAAACAAAAAAAAACAAAGAAGGCCATCCACAGGAGGACTCTGGGAATGCACGTAATGACATGAAATAAAATGCACACGTGTCTGCACAAACTACATTAAGACATTTACCGAGTTGCCCTTTTAAGTGCAGAAACACGTCATTCATTTAAAAGGTCGAAAAAGCCAATTTAAAAAATAATTTAAACGTCTTGTTTCTTCACGTGTACCTCATGTGACTCAGCTGCGCGCACACACACACACCTCCATTCAGGACAAAACGCAAACATTCGGTAACATACGAACCGGAGACGTAAAAAAATAAATGCCCGAMCCGAGGCTCTGCGTCTTCACCCGACTCAGCTTTCCCCTCTTATCAACGGGACTGTCCATTTTCTGTAAGAACAAGAGGAACTTTGGGTATTTTTTGTTCAGAATCAAACTAATCGACTGTCTTTTCTGTCTCTTTCCAGGCAAAAAGCGTCGCCATGGATTCTTTCTCGCTACTGCTACATTCCCCTCACCGAGTCGCTGTGCTTTTTTTCACACTTAAATAACTCCTCTGCCAACACGATTCTGGGCCAGCTCACCCCGCTGCTGGGCTGAAGGGACACAGACAGGGTGGCGGATTGATTGGAGGATGATGGACTCAGAACAGCGATGTTAGTCAGGTTAGCCTTGGCGGCAGCAGCCGAGGTCCTCTGAAGAGCCGCGTTGGACTCGCCTGCCTGGTTACTTCTTCCTGTTGTGGAGCCTCCGGGCCTGCAGCCTCTGACGGGATCCAGGTGGCTTTGATCCAGCGCCGATCGAGAAAGTGGGAGTCGCAGGTGATCCTGTAAAAAACAAAATAAAACGTTAGAATAAAACTACACAGCTTCAACATTTCATAGAGCYTTTGTTCGACAACACATCGTTAATAATTTACCAAATGAAACAGGGTTGAAGCCTTGGGCTGGAGTTCCAGGGCTGCCAAATGGACCTGCAGCAGAATTCTGACCAAACGATGGAGTGGACGTCCCTGCAGAAAAAAAAACCAACCAAATTAGAGCAGGATAAGAAAACAATAACAACCAGGGGTCGACATAACCATTGTTTAGGTTGTCRGAGACAACCTATTATCGTTTCGGYCAACCAGATCCTGTCTCCAAGTTGTCCGATGGACAACCAAGAAAAAGCAGCAGGTGTTCGTCATTGTAAAAATGAWTGGGAGAATAAAAACTTGTTAAAGCCATCCATGACGGTTCTTTCACCCAATAAAGAGAACCACKGTCAAAGTTTTACCCAATCAGAACAGAGCAGGGCGGGTCCTGCTGTCTGACTGACAGCGCTGCCTTTTTWCTTTCTCTGTGGMTGGGGGGTCAGCTTCWCTCAGTCCAGGAAACGCTGAGMGTTTTCCTGGGAGGTGTTCACCTGAGCTATTTTCCACCGWGAAATACGTCGTATTTTATATACATTATATTTCTAAAAYCACCTCGCAGCATTTCTCCTGTAACACCGTGTGTTTACGAGCACAACAAAACCGCGACAGATCTGACTGTTTTTAAAGCGAGGGCTGAGAGGCAGTTTGACCGCAGCCGCAGCACCTCTTCACGCGCTGGACAACCTGAAAAAAATCCTTATGGCTACCCCTGACAACATATATCACGGATCAATATGATAGAATATTGATCATTTCAAAGAACTCTGATCCAGAACCACACAGCATTCTGGGAGATGTAGGCAGAGGAAAGGCTTTAGCTGCTCGACCTCCCACGGCCCAGCTAGGCAAAGTTGGTGACAATTAACTCACAAAAAAATAATAACAATAATGAAAAAAACAACGTGGAGTAATAAGAGACAACAGTTTGAGAGGAAATAGTGGATAAAAGAGGAAAGGTCACCAGTTTGGCAGAATTAATCAGTCTTTTTTCTCTTTATCCTTATTTCAAACAGGTACAACAAAACTAATTATCAACATCAACTAACATGAAATGCTGACATAAAAACAAATATCACGTTTCTTTGACAGGGTTCCTACAGCTTAAGGAAAGTTATATCTAACACTTTTTAAGACCTTTTAATGCCACTTGAAATTAAATTCAAGACCAACTTCACAATAAACACAAATGTAAAAAAAAAAAAACGGCAACAATTTTACCTAAATGTTTATTTTAGCACAAAACTAGCTGCAGTAAATTTGGTAAAGAATTAATT